GAGACGAGACGAGACGAGGTGAGGTGAGATGAGATGAGATGAGATGAGATGAGATGAGACGAGACGAGACGAGGTGAGGTGAGGTGAGGTGAGATGAGATGAGATGAGGTGAGGTGAGGTGAGGTGAGGTGAGGTGAGATGAGATGAGATGAGACGAGGTGAGATGAGACGAGACGAGGTGAGGTGAGGTGAGGTGAGATGAGATGAGATGAGGTGAGGTGAGGTGAGGTGAGGTGAGATGAGATGAGATGAGATGAGGTGAGGTGAGGTGAGATGAGGTGAGATGAGGTGAGGTGAGGTGAGATGAGATGAGATGAGATGAGATGAGGTGAGGTGAGGTGAGATGAGGTGAGATGAGGTGATATGAGATGAGGTGAGGTGAGGTGAGATGAGGTGAGATGAGGTGAGGTGAGGTGAGGTGAGATGAGGTGAGATGAGGTGAGATGAGGTGAGGTGAGATGAGATGAGATGAGATGAGATGAGATGAGATGAGGAGATGAGATGAGATGAGATGAGATGAGATGAGATGAGATGAGATGAATCCTCTGGGATCTTTTTTATGACTCAGTCAGGACTTGTATAACTTTAGCCTTCATGGAAGTCATATGTCGGTGTTATGGCCCCCCTCGTGCCCTCTGCCCTCCGTGGCCAGATTGAATCTGATGTTCAGAGACCAGGCAAGAAGAGATGTACAGATTAGAGAGTCTCCCACTCTCCCCCGCCTTCCTTCCTTCCCTCCCTCCTTCCCTGCCTCGCTCCTCTCCTCCCTCAGACTCTCCGTGTTGTTGGATGACAGGAGGCGGTGAAAGAGCTCACTGCTGAGCTCGGACCTGGAGTTTTGTTCTTTTTTTAATTTATCTTTTCATATAAATGTATTTTTTCTCTCTCCGGTGCGCTCCGCTCCGGTGCGCTCCAGGACGCGCGAGGATGACACGTTTTAGGATGGGGCCAACCTCAGCATCAGCAGCGCAACACTTTACTTTCACCACCGCAGTGATGGATCACGAAGACACAATCCAATCACATGACTAAATAAACCCAGCAGGGCCGATTTTTCTTTTATTTATCCGTTTCTTTATTTTGTATTATTAATTTTAACGTGGGGAAAACTTTTTTTTTTTACTCCTGCGACGCATTTTGGATGAAATGGGGTGTGGAATGGAGATCCCAACTTTCCTGCTCTCGAGTCTTGCCGTGCTGCTCGTCGGAAGGGATATTTTCACCAGGTGAGCGCAGTCTTGCTTGTGTTCCCTCAAAGCAGAATGCTCCAACATTTCATAATTACAAGTTCACAGACATTTAAAGCCAAACCCTACCACACAAGACGCACAATGTGCAGAGGATACTGCTGCTGTTGTGAGTTTTAAAACAGACAAACTCGTGTTGTTTATGGACTAAAACCATCAGCTTTCTGCGCATCGCCTCCCACGACTTATCAGCCTGAACGCACTGCGGGGAAGCCTAATTTATCATATTAAAGTCCCCAAACCGAGTCTGCTTTTCCTCACACAAACCTGATGATGAACATATTTATTTGTTCCTCTTTTAATTTTTTTTTCATTTTTGCCTTTTTTAGATGTGAGTGGGTGTTTTGCTGCAGGTAATGTTATGTCATCAGCATCCAGTTCTGTTTAATGACGGGGCCAAATCTAGATGGTGTGCATCATTATTAAAAGAGGCCCCCCACGTCAACACATCTCCAACATTTAACATAGCAGCACCATTGTAAAAGAAAATGTTGCAGCAAGCTCTGGCCATGATATGTCACTATAAATAACAACAAATGAAGTGTTATATGAAATGAGCTTGAGATTTTCTAATTATTTTTGAGATATACTCTGTTATCACGTTGAAATTTATTCACTGAATTCAATTAACTGTTTACAAGGAGTTGTAGAAAACAAAGCCCTCTTCTGTTATGGCCAAATTAGATGTTTTAGTGCTTAAAAACCTCATGGTCGTGTGTTTATTATGAGTGTAAGTGTACAAAACCCCTACATGATGTTGTTTAAGCTCTCACAAGAATCCAGTCCATATAATCAGCATCTACTCCGGAGCTTAGAGCCTGCATGTGTGTGTGTATGTGTGTGTGCCTCCAATGAAAAAGGGTAAAGGGTAAAGAGCTACTTAAGCTTTGGGTGAAATTTGGACAAATCACTTCTTTTGTCCCTCCTGGCTGTTCACCAGCAGATGGAGTAACAACTATAACTGGATTCCCCCCTGCCTCCAGTCATCACTGTCATTATTTTATGCTCAGTACATTGCAGCGTTGGCTTATTTTAAAATTTATTTATTTTTCTGCACCTCATTATGTGTCAGCTTTCTCTGTGTCAAACACATATTGCTGCTCTGCCTTTAGCTGAAAGTTGCAAACTGCATATTGTTTCCCTCCTTTCAGAAGAGAATTACTCTCATTCTCTATTTAGCTCCCTTCTTTATCCATTTCAGCACAAGCTGCTCAGCTAAGTTGCTCCTCGCCTCCTCTGCTGTTGCCTGCTTTTCACAGCTTTTCTCTTCACCTGAAGTGTCTCTTTTTTATTTTTTGCTATGCTGAACAGTACGTCTAATTTAAGACCTAGCATTCCTTGAAGGAAAACACATCACCCACTGCCTTTTAGGTTTAGACTAATATCATCATGGAGAAATGATGGAGCTGTACAGCCATTTGGTCCGAACTTGATTTTGCACAGATCCTGCGTAATCTGTTGTTTACAGCAGGGGTTCTCAAGCCGTTTGGGTCTGGGGACCCCTTACAAGGGCAAAAGAATTCCAGGGACCCCTTCATAAACCCCGTTCTGTTTTAAATGATAATTTATTGCCATTTCAACCCCTAAACTCCATGGGAATATACAGTATAAGTTATGTTTGCTTTGCATTGTTCTCCATGCATTTAAAAAAATAAAAAAACATATTAACAATTTAGTGAATTTTTTGAGGACCCCCAAAACACCTCTCACAAACCTTTAGGGGTCCTGGGACCCCAGTTTGAGAACCTATGGTTTACAGGATGTGACGTGAAGGACTCTCAGCTAGTTACATGTATGCGACCCACAACATAAAAAATGATCAGGCAAAGTGGTACGTGGAGAAAATAAAATGTTTGCCAAAGTTGCACTTTGTCTAAATATAATAAATAAATTCCTTATAAATGTATGGTTTTTATTTTTGAGCAGTATCAACAACAACAACGAAAAGATTTTGAGCAAAAACGCCTTAAATTTTTGATATTTTTCCTGCAATCTAGTTCAACTTTTGTCTGTTTCCAGCTGGGAAACCTCAATATCCGAATACTATTTGAGGTTTCCGCTTTAAAATTACGTCAGAAATTCCTCATTAAATATATTTAAAATAGGATTCAGACCAAACATTAATGTATTAAAGTGACAACAAGACAAATTAAGTTGTATCTCTGGAACCACTCATTATATCAAGGTGATAGGAAGCAAAATAGCTTAAAGAAACACTAATCAGAAAATGTGCTTTGTTCATTTTGAGCAAATCCTCGATTTAATATGATGGGTCAAATATTTTGTTTGTTTGTTCGTTTTCTAAGATCAACTGGATGCAACAATTTGTTTGATGATGTCAATCAGTTTCAGAGGTGGACTCCATTAATATTTGAAAAGACTTTTATTAAAATCCAACCAGTTCAAGAGATATTTTGGTAATACTACACATACACACACACAAATTGGTGATAATGATGAAGTAATAAATGTAACAGACATGGCCTTGGTTGCATAAGAAAAAGAATAACATCCCACTTGATCATCATCAGAATTTGAGGAAAACATTTACCAACACAGGATGACAAAAACAAACATACTTTGTCATTTACTTTTCTACTTGTCACTTTTTGATTGACTAACAATCTGTGGAATAAAATGCGTCATCACAAACACGAGGAGTGTTGCGTAACACTTTTGCTGCTTTAAAACGCTACAAAACCCGCGATGGGTTTGTTAGAATACATTTCTCCTGAAATATATGGATCCAGGTTGAAAACTGTCTATTTTTTATTAAATGCTTAACATATTTTAGACAAACAATGCAGATATAGAAGTTGATTTGAACACCATATATGTTTTATTTCTAGTTTTTAAAGCTAAAATGAAATGTACAGCTAATGAAACATACTTTTTAATGTCTGGATTAAGCAAGTATGTAAAAAAAAACAAAGCATGCAAAGTTAGTCTTTCTGTTCTGCTTATATTGTCACAAAACTTTTGAACATTTTATAGTATTTGTGCCTTGTTTGTCTGGATCACATCCAATACTCTCCTCTTCTAACGAACCAGACTTCCAATCAAAATACTTACCCAAAAGTTACATTTTCAGTCTTTTAATGTAAGAACAGAGGGTCACTTTGCAGTTTTCTGACTGCCGTAAGCCTTTATTTTGAAGGATGATGAGGTTTTGAGTTTGCAGCTTTGCTACTCAGTGTTCAGAGCAGATAAATGAACCGAGGTGGATGTAGCACAGGAGAGATGAATAAGGTGAATGGGGTATTAGATTTTGTTTGTTTAACTTTAAATGCTTGTCTGGTTGATTGTTTATTTTGCGGGTTCGAAATGTTTGTTCATTATACGATGGAACAGTTCCAACTGTCTAAACAGTAAAAAGACAATTTTAAATCTCTTTGTTTAACCCTAAAGTGACACAGTGTAGAAGTTTATAAAAGTCTTTGCTTGAACTGTGTTTGAGTTCTGAGCTGTTTTTGATCGTTGATTCACTTTGGAACTGGCTCTGAGCTGTTAGCGTGGCTCCATGAGAATTTCTGTGTTTCTTCAAACGATTAGTCAGACCAATGCTAATTTTTTTATTAATAATACAAATGTGGACCTTTCAAATATCTAAAAATCATCTTTCAAACAAAATCAACGTTTGAAACAGGCTCGTTTAAACAGGCACCTTTGATTTACTTCTGGAGTCAGTCCTCCAGCAGATCATGGGTCGTGAAAAGATTTGATGTGTGAAAGCCTCTGCTTTTATTAAAACATGAAGAAAATAGTTTCTGGTTTTGTAATTGTACAGACATCCTGCTTAAGAAGAAATATGTTGGAAAAGATTTAAGTTTTATAGAAAAAGTAAGAGTTTGTGGGGAAAGTCCCTTTTTAAAATGATTATTATTCAAATGTTTCTGGTGGTGGCTTGGTTAGCAGAGCTGCGTCTCACCAAGAAGGTTGCCAGATTGAATCCCAGCTGGGGACCTTTCTGTGTTGAGTTTGCACAGACTCTCCGTGCATGCGTGGGTTTTCTCTGGGTACTCCAGTTTCCTCTTGGCTAACTGGTAACTCTAAATTGTCCCTGGGTGTGAGAGAGAGTGAATGGTTGTTTGTCTCTGTGTGTCCCTCGGCAGTGACTGCTGAATATGGACACCAGTGACCCTGAAAGGAAAGAAGCGGGTAAAAGATAATGGATGGATGTTAGTGAATTTTTTTCGATAGTCTGTGAAGATTTACAGTAAGTCTAGTTCATATTGTGGTGGCAAGATTTACCAAGAATGCAGAAGCACGTTGGAACAAATGCACAGAAAGTCTGCATGTGTGGTCGCCAAATGATTTAATTTGAGCAACAACAGAGCAAAAGTCAACCAGCGAAGTCTGTCAAGTTGTGGCTGCTGCCTCAGCGCAGAGCAGCCGATGATATAACATCCTGTACGTTTACAACCAATCACATTTCGACAACTGGAACCACCTAACCGATAACAGGGCTCTCAACCCAGGGACTACCTTATCAAAATAAGAGAGGTCATGCATTGCTGGAGTCTTGAAGTCTAGAGCAACAGATTAAAACAGCCGAAACTAGTTATCATAAGATCTGAGTACTGGACGGCGTCAAGGTAAAACAGATGTAAATAATTAGTCCATAACAATATAAAACAAACCACTACAAAAACAATACAGAGGAATATGGCACTTGTGTACATAACTCCCTTTAGCAAAAAAATTAATGGCTTTAGTCTCATCCATGCTGCAAACCCACATTACAGTTTCTCAGAAGCTTTTTGATGGCTTTACATAACACCGACGTCCTCATCCCGTTTTTGGACCACTTGTTTCAATTCTCAGTGAATAGCTGTTAGAGCTCCTGGACCGCCGTTTTGCTTAGATTTTTTTTTTTGGACTTTTTATGGTCCGGATAGAACTTGTCAGGCACCATGAGTCTCTTCATCAAATCCTTGATGGAGAGGGTTTATTTCTCCATGTAGATGCCCAATGGCTGA